GATGGAGTACGTGGACACTTTCAACAACAACCCCAAGATCAGGTTCGTTTTCACTGGACTCTCGTTTTTTCGTGTATGCTAAGAAAATATACAGGGTCATTCTTATGGACTTGTCGCAGGCCGCTATTGGTCTCGACATGAGGGCTGCCTCGCGAATCTACTTCATCAACCCCGTTCTGAACCCCCAGATCCAAGCCCAAGCCATTGGCAGAGCCCGGCGCATCAGTCAACAGAAGCCCGTGACGGTCGAGACACTCGTCCTCCGGGACAGCATCGAAGAAGTCATCATGGAACGCAAGAAAACCATGTCGCAGTTTGAGCATTGGAAGTGCAAGTCCATCATAGACGACCAACCCATCTACAACTGGATCTTGAACGCCGGCATTATACCCCTCCCTAAGGATCAGAAGGATTACTTGGCACAGGCCATTCCGCTGAAGCACCCTCAGCCAATCTTTGGCAGCAAGTTTGCTGGCGGTCAGTCTTCGGAAGAGGATACTCTGGCGAATGGCACAGAGAGGAAGTCGACGGCCTTCAAGGATGAGCTGGCAAGTGGCATAAATCTGGGCGGTCTCAAGCGCCCGCGTAGTCCCAAGTCTGAAGGCAATGGAGACTTGGGGGGTGAACCCGCCAGACCTGTGCGCCGCCTGCGCTTCTCTGCAGAGGACGAGGAAATGAGCGATGAACGGTCCCCGCCAAAAGTACGATTTTCATAGGACTTTTCTAGACTTCAATTTGGATTCAGCATGGCGAGTGATACTCAGGCGTGGGGCCTGAATCTCGTGCGGTAGTTTTAGGTGGCTACTTTCTACGATGGGTGAGGCTTGTTGGATTATGTTTGTATAGCGCTGTTGAGATACCAACTAAGCTGCACATGGATGCAGCAACAATAAGAATCGTTTCTCCTATCATTGTTTAAGGATACTCTTACGGTACGCAAATAACTTTTTGTCAGTGACACCTTAGTCAGAGTCATTCCTAATCGGTTCGCATGAGAACCGAGTTCAACATCAAGTGCAGTATACGCTGTTGCTGGAGGAACGCGAGATCTTTGCAACAACATCACGACGCACTGTTTTTGTTTCTCGGCGCAAGATCATATTGTTGCTGGTGTTGTTGCCAAGCGATCTTCTTCAGTCCGAGAGGCGGTGGCCCCTTCAAAAGGACCTATTCATAGTGACAGTGCAGACAGGCGCCGAAGTCCGAGGCCGGCCCGGGACGGGGACCAACGGGAGAATGCATTAGTTATTTGCTCTCTCTTGAGCCTCTACTCACCTTGAACGGAGACGCTTCGTCCACAAGTCGCGCCGGCTGTTTTATGTTTGTACGACCCTCTCGAGATGACAGCGGAACCCGGTCCACGGCAAGACTCGGTAGCGCGGCCGCTTCGACCGAGGGACTGGGAAAGGCCAAGCAAGCGAGATAACCTCGTGGGTTTTGGGACTGGGTTCAGACGTTTTTCGTGTGGTGCACGGAGGATGAGAACAGACGAGTGAACAGACACTCGAGGCAAGGCTAAGTCACGGATGAGGGGACGTGTGTAATATGATGTTCAACGACCAACGTATGATGAACAAAAGAAAGGACCGGCACAAGAGATTGCGTCGCTTGGGTTTTCCTTCCTCTTTCGCCCAGGCGGCTGTGGGATGCCGTATGTTGGGTATTCACATGTCATGTCCTTCTTGTTTCTTGGAAAAACAAGACCGGTAACTCCGTGCCCGGCGTGGATCTTGCGAATACGTAAGCACAACAAAGGAACCGTTGGGACGGATGACAACGGGCACGAAACGATGATGCAATGCGGAGATCTCGGCAAGAAGGTATTGATGGAGATCGTGGACCCATTTTGTAAGGTGCGGACCACGGGTTGCAATATGGAAGGAAAGAAGAGGCTGGGGATACTACCTGCACTTTTGGATGACAGAGACACTGGGTGATGGGAAGCAGTTAGCAGTACAGTCATCTTTCTCTCATGGCAAGCTTGAAAAAGCATCTCACTTCAAGTGCTGGGTGGGCACTATACTGTTTTATTAAAACTGTATTCTGGTATTTGTGACTCACAAGAATTAAGTTTCTGCGATAACAAGGTACTTAGACAGAGACACTGGGGATTTGGGGAAGGAAGGTACCCAGACAAAACCCCATGTTCGAAACGATTTTGTTTCTCCACTCCGTGCCTGCCCGTCGAGCAGAGAAAGAAGAAAGGAAGGGAAGGAAGGCAGGAAGCAAAAAACCATGGCATGACATGACATGACGCCTTCCAAGTTCCGTGAAACTGTCAACCTTTACCCGAGCATGGCAACGGAAGGCAAGAACGGCAACCAAGGCAAGGCAAGCAAGGCTTGGACTGAGAAAGAATCAGAGGGAGGCGTTTCTCTGCCCGTCCTGTCCGCTTCAGTTGAATCAATAATGCACATCTACCAAGAGAGCCTCGAACTTGCATCATTTTCGACAAACCGCCGCGCAATCGTGGAGACCTCTGAACAGCTTGACGCAGGCGACTTGACTCGTTTCACGATTTCCACCTCCCTACAATGATCATTGTCGATAACGAACCAACGATGAATGCTCCTTTCAACTCCTTCGCCCCCTGTTTCCTCCCCAAATTCCAGAGGTTGGGTGGTTCGTCTGAGGTTAGCCGCTAAAAGCCCACCTCAAACTAAGACAGAAAGCAGCAGGGACGCCCGTTGAAACCGATTCTCACCACGGCAACGAGCTTACCCCGAACGAGTTACCTTGCTCCGATCTCTCGGGACTATCCATTCTCGCGTTCTTCTGCATCGCTCCATGGCCCCTACGAATACAGCAAGATGTCCCTGGGGCTCAAGGAATGCAATAGAACGTTATATGGATATCCATGAACAATAGGAACACAGGCACTATCGTCACTGTATCCATGAACCACACAAGCTACCCGAAGCGGGATGTGACGATCGATACTTACCCAGCTATGAAGCAGGCCAGTCGTCGCAGGCCACACGGCACGGGAATGCAGATGCGGAAGCGGCAACGGGATGCGCGTAAGACGTCGAGCCCAGATTGACGAGGCGACTTCGATGCGACCTCAGCACGCGCTATGGCGCCCGGGGGTTCACAGTATCACAGGGTTCTGGTGTTGGTGTAAGCAAAAGCTGGAGCCTGGCAGAGCTGGATGCTGGGAAAATGGAACCCCTTGACTAGGTATTGCGCTTTCGGTGTGTCGGCCTTGGAGATGGGATTTCCAGGATAAGTGAGTTTTGTCCCACTTCAACTTCCTGGTTTTCTACTCCTGTTCCTGGATCAGTGCTGCGGCCAAGGCACACAATGGCCGTTGTCTATCTGAACGGCTGCAGCTTGCAGGTTCCAGCCCCGTCTGTGCCAAAGAAACCTTGCGAGGTCAGAAGAGTCCCGTCATGGCTAGCTGCATCAAACACCCCTCCCTCATCGACTTTCCATCTGGTCTGCGCTGCAGGGCGAAACGGGACTGCTAGTTGGCCCCAGCCCAGCCTCCCGCCGACACGCCACTGACCGAAATGATGTGATGGTCCGGACGAAACGAGGTCAGAATGATGAGACGAGGTGGTTCAGAGGGAGGATCAAGAGCTACGCATACAGGATCTATTTGCCCGAGGCGGACGCCAGGCTCGTTCACCCTGCCTCGGTGGCCTGTCCCTGTCTTCCTCCCTCTGAGTCGACGAGTCGTCAGCCAGTGTGTTTTGGGCAGTGAGATGTGCGCAACTCTGAATGGACTGGCTGTGCAGCATCGCACATGATGATACGGATATTACTGGATGTCGGCACGGTTCGTCGCAACCCCGCGAAACAGAGCCAGGGCAAGATGCCATATGCCTTGGCTTCCTCCGGGCCGCTCATTCGTCGCCTTCGGAAGTCGTCGTGGCCGGTCTCCCGCTCCGCCACTCAGGGAATGACCTGGAGAGCTCGAGTGAGAGCTCCAGAACATCACCAACCCTGTCGGGCTGTTAACCTTGTTTTTCCCAGGCAGTGGGTACAAGTATTCCACGCCAGAAATGTGGGTGCTTCCATTGTATCGAGTCGAGTGCCTGGCAGCTGCGAGTCGCTGCGACCCATCGTCGATTGCCTGGAGCTCGAGGCGCGAGACAAGCTAGACGAGGGGGATAGAGGGGTTAGATTACCCACATTCCAATCATTCATGCGACTAAGGCACCTCCCAGCCGCTACAGTGCAGAATGTTGCCGCCATATTGCGTTGCTTTGCGCAGCTCTAGTTAGGGCTTTTGGGAGTGGAAGGGCCGGGAGTGCGTGAGCGCCGAGCAGGGCTCTGACTTTTTGTCTTGGGACCACGAGGTCCAGATCCCAGGCCGCAGACCGCGATTTGATGGGATATTTCGAGCGTGGGATGGGGTTCTTGAGTTCAAATATAATGCACCCATATGCATGAAGGCTGCAATCTGGAAGGCCCTCGCCCTCTTGCTTCCCTCGTCTTCTCATCTTTCCCCTTTTCACCCTCGTTTTGCTGGTATTGACGGGTTATAGTTGTTGGTTCTTATTGCTCGGTCTCTACTCCCCCTCGTCTCCCCTTTCCGGCTCATCCATCACCGCAAGTTCGCAACAGCATCCTACGCTTGATGATGCTCTTGGGTTGGCTGAAGCGGGTCAGCTACTGAATTGAAAACCCACCCTCGCAACAACGGCAACTGGCCAAGCTATCCCCACGTCCGGTATATTAAAATTACGGCACAACGACCTCATGAAGGCCAAGGTTGCAACCCCCCTTTGTTCGTTGAAATAAAAGGTGTCGCCTCGTCGTTCAGCCCAACTTTGGTGGTAGGACTGCGGCTGAGAGGAAGAGAGCGCAACGAGTCGGTCAGAGCAGCAGCATCAGCATCAGCAGCAGCAACACGACGGAACTCACCGAGGTTTGGACGGCACGTGGACGGTCCGAAAGAGACGAACGTGAAGACAGGGAATAAGGAGAAGAAGATCAGTCGACTAGATATATCGGCAAGCGACGGTCACGAACCTCGGATCATGGACGGCACAATGATCAGCGGACGTCAGTACTACGAGATACCGCCTGCGGGCCAAGCGATCACGACTTCCTACAAAGGCAACCGGCGGTTCGATCCCGACTACGGACTCAACTACGGGCACCACAGCTACGCTATCGAACAGAAAGACTACCGGGCGGCCCGGGCAGTCTCTGGCAGTGGCCTTGGGCCAGCGGGTGCAAGGCAATCGCTGTCAGCGCTGGACGACAAACGTGCCAACGAAATTCGACATGGCGTCTACGCACACGTTTTCCTGGATGTCAAAAATAGCAGCAAATCAGAAGCTCCGTAAGTCTCTCTTTTCTAGCGGTTGGCCCCATCTTTCAGTTTTCAACACTATCGACGACTGCATTTTCCCCATCGTTCTACACCACTGGTTCCACGTACTGGTTTCTCTGCTGCGTCGTTGATTCGCTGGCCTGTTTCTCCCACTGCTTCTTGTCGCGCGCCATTTTTTCTGTTTAACCACTTTACTTTGCATCGTTCCGCTTGGCCTCGTATTCACTGCTGCAAATTTATTTTTTCCTCATTCACGCGATATGTCACCTATTGCGTCTGAAATTTCGTTCCTGCACGGCTCGACATGAGATGACGCTGGCACTGGGCTGTAGTTGCTCGTTTCGGTTCATCCCATTTTCCCATTTCTACATCACCCTGGCCATATTCTTTGGCTGTTTCTTCCACTTCGGAACTGTTCTGCTTCTGCCCACATTAAGAACAGCGATGACGCCTCGACCCACGGCTCGCGAGTGGGAGTCGCGTCGTTCGACCGACGAAAGTGCTGAACGGGGGCAGCCCCACGCCTCATTTATTATCGATCCCGAGCCTTTCTTTCCAAGTGGATCCCGACCCAATGGAGGCTGCTTTGGGAAGTGTCCTCTAGACGTGGAAATCCAAGATCTTTGCTCTAGTGTCTATAGCTCTTGACACCACGGGCACGCTTCTGGCAAGACCGGCAGATACGGATAGGCACTCGGCCTACGGCCTACTGCAGGAGATTCCAGCCCAACTGAACAAGCCACTTCCTACGATGCCGTCAAGTTCTTCCGGTTGGTTTGTCCTCAAGATTACGTCCCCACGAGATCCTCCTGCCCAGGCTGGGCGGGGCGGAGACAGAGTTACTTGTCACTTCTGAGATGGGAAATGCATCGACGCACGAAATGGGAGCTCGGATTACTCTGTACCCACGACTTTCCTCTTCCACGTTTCCCCCTGCCATGACCCCTGCATCTCGTCTCCAGCTTCAGTTGAGCGTTGCGGATCCCATGATCGAATGATGGTGCTTTCCATCCTTGCGTCGTTATCAAGATTCACCTCCCCTCCCCTTGTTTCGCGGATTCTCAAACGCAGTTTTGGAGGCTTCAGTGTAACTCTTCAGGATGGACGGCTTGCGGCTTGCCATTTGCGGGAGCCATCGCAACGGGGCCCGGCAGAACGGAGTGCCTAGAGACCGCCAGGAGTTTGTCCTAATTTCCACCAGGAACAGTGGCGCGCGTCTCTGCCAGTTGCAAAGCAAGGCAGAATTGCGTTGCTACCCGCCAAGCGGCAACGCCACGAGACAAGTTTTGCTTCTCTGCCTCTTTCTGTCCCTCTTCGCGCCGCACGTAGTGTAAGCCCTAGCGCAAGTGCTAAAGTAGGGAGTTCTTGTCATCGCGCCCACGTTGCTGGGTTGCGCGACTCGGCTAGCTTGTCACTGCGTATCTGCACTGAGTATCCGTAGTCGCCGCCCAACATCGCAGCCTTGGGAGCTCCTAGTCCTAAGTCCTCGGTAGCTCGAGATACGGCTGATGAGTGTTTCCCCTTCGAGGCGGGCCAACAAGGGCCAAGGGTCAAGGGGGTCTTTGGGAAAGGACGACCCCCAAATCGCTCCCTCACCCCCCCTAGACAATGGGATGGGCGACCACTCATCAGACTCCATCTGGATAGGATCATCAGAGCGAGCGCCGGTCCGGGCACAGCCCACGCACCTCTCTGCCCGCGCAAGCCTCTGTCGAATCCAGGGTGCACTTGCAGATTGCCCAGCGGTAGTCTCCTTGGTGTGTGCCGGTGCCGTTCTTTGCGAGTCCTTTTTTGGCTCCAGGTTCTAACTCTCTTCTCTCTTTTTTTCCTTTTCTTTCCTCCAAGTCTTTCGTATTAAACTTGACAGAACCCCCCGTCACGTCACGTTGGCGCCTTTCGCTCTTTTGTTTCTGGGATTTGCTTGTTTCCCGACTACCTGTTCCATTCTTGGCTTGGAACTTTGTCCGCTGCCGAATTCCGTTTGCTGGATGATCCCTGAAGTACCTTGGTACTAACACGACCTGTCTCTTCTCCATAGCAACCCGAGACCTCTTCAACACAAGAGGCGAGCTTCTGCTGCACCTGCTGCTTCCAATTACATCCTCCATGATGGTAACCGTCTGAGAGTCCCTGGTCGTTTCGCTCCGCGTCCAGCTATCGCCGCCTCCGTTTCCGTCCCGTCGTCTCCGCTCATGACCGCCAGCCACGGACCTGCTCCGGCGTACTTCGGCGCTCCAGAATTGTACCACCATAAGGGTGAACAGCAACAGTCTACAATGGCCACGATGGCTACAACAGAGCCCGCGCGTTCAAGTCCGCGCATCGCCCGGGTGCCATACGCCTTGCAGACGGCTCCTTTAGATTCGAAGCTCATTTGCGAATCACTACCGACCACGGCTCTGAACAGGCCAAGGAAGCTCTCCCAGGCATCAACCATCACCGTTACGAGTATCAACAGCCCGAGAGAAAGCTTTGAGACACGATCCAGAAGCTCTTCGTACGGCAGCCACAGGACAAGCATTGATTCGAGTCCCACTATGTGGAGGCCCGACTACTTGTACTCAAGGCCCAGTCAGACGACTGTCTTTAGAAAAAAGGCGAAGCCCGGGGAAATCTTTGCGAAGTTGCCCGGAGAGGTTTTGGAGCTGATCCTGGGCGAGCTGAAAAAGCTGCATCTCGAAAAGCCTACGGACAGCTGCGCGACATGTTGGATGAGGGATGTCTGCTCGCTTACTCTCACGGCGAGGAAATGGTGCAAGTTTGCGCGAGTGGCATTGTGAGACTTGCTCCTTCGCCACGACCTCGCTATTTGGCTAACAGCGTTTCTCAGGTATGAGGATATTCAACTCGTAGGAGCCGATTCAGCATCTCAAAAGAAGCGGCACAAAGTTACGTTCGGCTCGCGCATGATGCTCCTTAGACGGACACTGAGAGCGAACTCGTATCTCGCCGGACTCGTTCACACTCTCAAGGTTCCAAGCCCCCCTACCGGGGTCTTGCTGGAGGACTACCACAATCAAGTTGCCGCGCTGATCATGGCATGTCCTGATTTTGAGCGCCTCATCGGCCTTCACCCCCATTATAACCACTCGTACAGCAAGCTCTTGCATGCGCTCTCGTCGCGCAAGCGCCTCAAGCACATGGATTGGATTGTCGAGCCGTCACCCTTTCAGCGACAACACCGATTCAAGTCGAGCTCAGGTAGTAATGTCGCCGCGATGACCCAGGCGACCTATGATGCTTCCGTCACTCCCGGTGACCTGCAACCACACCAGAGTGCGGCATTCCTCGATTTCCACCTCGACTGGGCCCACCTCACGACTTTGTCGATTCACTGCCTCCCCGGCGCAACCCTTACTCCGGATAACCTCATCAGCTCGGCACTGATGCACCTAACGTCTCTGCAGCACCTTTACCTATCATGGATGCCGGTAACCGCCTTTAATGACAGCACCCTGCTCTCACTCCCTCCTTTGCGTACACTTTCACTCACCCACGTACCGGGTGTCACCAGCAGCGGCATTTCTGCTTTGGCTACCCTCCCAACGAGCCAGGCGATCCAGAAACTGACTCTACGCCATACGAACCTCGATTCCCTGCCCGCCTTGGCCCGCATCTTTTCCAACTTTACTCACCTCGAGTCTTTTACCCTCGTCCAGACCTTGGCGCCCCTGCTCCCGGAGGACACATTCATTTGGCTTATGCCATACCTCGCATCCTCGTCCCTCCGTAAGCTTCATTGGGACATCACGAGCAACACGACCCACGCCAATGCCGCCGACTCCATCCTAGCCCGCAGCATCGCCGCCGACGGGTTCCCCTCCCTACGCAGTCTCCGCAGCCCCAACGATCCCGAAGGCATCTTCCAAGCCCTCTGCCGGCCGCAGGAGAGGACAGACAGCGCCAGCGATCGGTTCCGCGGCCCCAACGGCCCCGCCCGGAGCTCCTCATTTCCCACCCCCAGCACGAACCACAGTCCCGTCTCGCCAACGAAGCCGTCCCGCTCGCCTACAGCTCCGGCGTCCCCCGTCATGAGCGACGCCCCTCGCGAATGCACCAACCTCCACGTAGCCCGGCTCGCGGCGCAGGCCCGTCTCGAAGCCGCGCGTGCAGCGCTGCCGAGGTTCTTCCTGAATGTCATCGATGAGGACGGCACTGTGCTGGAGAAGTATGGACTGGCGGCCTTCATCGGCACGGTAGAGAGCCGCATCACGTATAACCTGCGCCCTGACCCGGGCGCCAAGGACGAGCGCGGCGGGCTGGTCGAGCTGGCGGATCTGACGGCGGACAACGGCGAGGAGATCGCCGTTGGGCGAGAAGGCTGCCAGGGACGGTGGAACGCGTCTTCCACCGTCTCAGACAAGAAGGATCGGGAGAGGTGGTGGCACACTGAGAGAGGCCGCTGGCAACAACCTGAGCTTGCATAAAGTGCGAATCAGCCTCACAATGAGCGTCATGTTTTATTTCCTTGAAAGTTTTTGATGAAACGGCCAATTTCATGATATCCAAATTGTCGAAAGGGCACGGGGGAATGGGGTCAAGATGCCTCCAAGATACTAAACGAAACAGCAGGAAAAGATACACATGTAACGTATATAATGTTTATAATGGTATTCATACGTAAACGGTTACGATGGGCACGTGGGAGAAAGAGGAGGATGTACATAGAAATGGAAACATTCGAGTTTGTAGTATAATACCACAGACAATTCAATATCTACAAACGGTCGGAATCCACAGTGAACTAGGTCGGTTTATTGAGCTGTAGGGGTTTCCAATGAAAATGATGTCTGAGACAAGGTTTGAGAAAGTTTATGTGTTTTGGCCACTACAGATCCAAACCCGCTCAGTCCAAAGAGACGCAAAGGCACATATCGAGACGGCAGTTTCCATTCATTCAGGTGCGAAACACACCTCAGCGCAAGAGGCGAAGCGTTTTTGCACTGCCCCAAAAAGAAAGACCACCGTGTCGCTGTTGCCTGAGCACTCTTGTCTCGATTTACCCTGCCTTACGTGAGGCGAGGTGAAGTCCAGTCATGATTGCTGACTGCTCAAAGCTGAGTTTCCCTGGGTTTCGCTGCCTTCCATACGAAAGTCAGCACGCTGGAGTTGAGGACCCAAGCGCCGATTAAAACGTCCAGGGGGGGAGCTTGCCCGGTTGCAGCAGCCACCAACCCCGCCCCCACCACCTGTTCACACTCTCTCCCCCGTTAAGTAAGGTGTGACTGCATGCCTATCGGTGTGTCTCCCCCTACAATCGGTAAGCTGCCTGCCCGCCCGTCCGCCACCCGTCCACCCCACCTGACCTCTGTCCAACTTCATGCCATTCCGTCAGCCTGCTTGACCTTGGACGCCAAATTAATGCCTGTACATCGTTTGGATAACACTCTACACGAACCAGCCGTTCATCTCAGTACTGAGCGGATTAATAACTGCGCGATTACTTGCCTTTTCTTGGACATATCACCTATCCTCTCGGGTGGCGCTTGATCTTTGCTCTGCGACTACGGCGGTTGAACACACCCACCCCCTGCTTCTCGGTGACCGCTTCCCGGGGGCTTGTGGCTCTACGCTCAACATCTCGCCTCAGGTGTTTAGCGAGCTTCACTCTGGTCAAAATACCAATATCCGGATCTTAAGTGAACTTAGGCCAAGATATCAGCACCTGGAGGCCGAGAAAGAGACTGGGGAAAGGCCGACGGCAGTTTACAAGTCTACCGTGAACGGCGGGGCGAACTTGCGCAGGTCCCTACCTAGGCAGAATCCGACCAAACCGACACGGCAACACGGCAACACGGCAATACGATAAACCTCAGTAGAAGAGGACCACCAAGACTTGCGAGACAGAAAAGGAAGCCGGGAATTTTAAAATGTCAAAAGACAAGACGCTCCGCATCTTTTGCTTTGGCGACTCGCTGACGGCTGGGTACTCGTCCTACGGCGCCGTCTACCACCCGTACTCCATCGCCCTCACAAAGCTCCTCGCCGTGTACCTGTCCGACACGCAAATCGTGGCGACGGACAACGGCATGCCCGGGGATGTCGTTTCGCAGGGAGCCTTTGCGCAGCGTTTTGATAGCGAGAGTTCGTGCTTTTGCCTTTCCATCATCATTCAATGTTATTGCGTCGCTGCAATGTTCTATCACGACTTCCTCGCCCCTCCTCTCATCTCGTCTCATCTGCCCGGTTTGCTGGAGATGAAATACTTGCTAATTTCATGTTTTAGTGAGCCAAGCACAATACGACTGGGTCATCATACTGGGAGGCACAAAGTACGTTCAACTTATACGTAGATTCCCCTGGAAGTCGCCTCATACTAACGAGATGCACCAGCGACCTTGCATTCAACGTGCCGCCAGATAGGATATTTGACTCACTCCGGGGAGTATACGACTCCGCCATTGCCAAGGGTAGCAAGGTTCTTGCCTTGACAGTTCCCGAATGTGCAACCAAGAGTGAGAAGCTGGATGCCCGCCGGCGACAGCTTAACAATGCTATCCTCACTCATCAATCACCAAATTAGTATGTCCTGCCTTTCACACTTACTCTTTCATTACATGTTCTCCATCATCTCTTTTTCGTGCTTAGAAGGAGACCACACGATAGACGTACTAATCACTAAACACCCAGCCACGCCTTCGATCTTAATCCGAGGATCCCGTTCCACGCCCTCACCGATCGGGAGTGCAAAAGATACTGGGACGACGGCCTGCACCTGACACCAGCGGGCTACGACTGGATGGGCACACACATCGCCGAGGCCCTCCGCGACGTTATAGAGCTCGAGCGGAATCCCCAATCCAAGAGAGCGCGTAGGGCGCGGCGCAACGCCGAGGAGCAAATCTCCTTTGACGAGGAGGACGGTGATCCACATTCGCTCAGCGAGGGTTATGTGGTCGTGCGGATGAGAGACTTGAACTAGATACCTTTTTTTACTTTGAATGCGAACATTGCTTCTAAACCCGTGGTTCATTCGCCGTCCTCTCTTATTCAGTCTACTACGTAAGTCGGGCTACGTGACTGCTCCATGCTGACGTGGCTTCTTCTCTTCATTTGTGACATGCAGTGCGGTCTCTGTTGATCGCATGAATCCCTTAAAACGCCAGTGGTTAACCCCCTTTTTACAACGCCGGTAATGTGTGTAAAGTTCAGTTCCATAACAGCAATCCATCTCAAATGACCAAGTTGGCTTCCACGAATTCCTGCGGAGCTGTCAGTAGATGGTTCATCAAAGACTTGCAAACCGTAAGGTAGGGAATAGACTCACGGGAAACTGTTTTTGCAGAGCATTGGTCACGTTCTCAACCTCTTCGGCCACGCTCTGCACATTCGCATCCCACCGCCGCATCTCCTTGCCGACGACGACCTCGGCGCGCCCGCTGCCCTTCTTCCCAGACGCCTCGCCGCCCTCGAACCAAATCACCTCGTCGAGCTGGTCGATCCGGCCGAGCAGCCGGCCCTGCTCAATCATGCGCGCCGTTGTCTCCTCGGCCTTTTCGGCGTCCAGGCCGAGCAGGGAGCCGAGCGCCTCGAAGCCAATGTTGCGGTACAGCCTCGACGCGCCGAGCAGGTTGTGCTCGACGACGGCCTTTGCCAGTACGGTGGACCCGTCGGCCGTGGTGGCGAGCTGGTGCGGCTGCAGGCCCTGGGCGAACTTGTCCACCTCCTCCGGGGCGAGCAGGCGGTCGAAGAACATTTTTTCCAGCATGCCGTGCTCGTCGAGTCCCGCAGAGCGCTCGTCCTTGTACAGCCGGCCGAGGGCGCGGCTCCGCATGGGACCGGCGGGGGCGAGGATGGCGCACTTGACGGCCATGCCGAGGGTGTGCAGGCGCTCCTCCTCTGCGATGGCGGGGCTGACGCTGATCTCGTGGTAGCGGCCGCTGGCGCCGAGGAAGTCGCGCTGGGAGTCGAGGATGCGGGCCATGGAGAGCTTGAAGTGGAGGTCGAGGTCGCGGTCCTGGACGGTGTGCATGATGTTCTTGAGCTTGTTGACGTACGTCTCGGCGGCGGTGGTGTCGTCGACCTCGAGGTAGTTGCGGGCGATGCGGACCCAGACGCGGGCCTTGTCGTCGTTTGTGACCTTGCGCTGGGAGCCGTCGAGGGGGATCTCGGCGAGGACGTTGGCGGCGTCGAGGAAGTCTTCGGCGCTCTCGTGGGCCTCGGCGACGAGCTCGCGGACTGCGGCGGCCTGGTCGAGGAAGGAGGAGGGTTGGGTGGCGAGCTGGGCGAGGGTGTGGTTGCCGACAGCGATCCAGAGGTCGTCGTTTTGGAGGGCGCGGAGGGCGGCGACGAAGGAGGCGAGCAGGGTGCGGGTGGAAACGATGCCGAGGGAGGCAGCGAAGATTGCGTCTAGGACAGCGTTGAGGTCGGACGCGGCTGTCGGAGGGGACGAGAGGGTCTTGATGTCGGCGATGATGGATTCGTAGGCTGGGGCCTTGTCGCCGGGGGCCGATTCGGCTTGAGCGAGCCGCTCGGCGACCTTTTGTGAGGGCGCCATGGTTTCAATGTGTGCCGATATGTGTGTGTCGACCTGTGCGTGATCTGTTGGTGTGAAATATGATCTTGGGAGTGGTGCGGTGGGAGGCGGCTGGGTATCTGAGCTTGTGCTTCTCAACGTTGGTGGTTGATCGTGAAGCCGTGGAGCTGTAGGAGCTGAGGTGAGCTCTTGGATGGTTGTCATTGATAGAGTTAGGCAGGCATGGTGGGGTAAGAGCTTTAAGGGGCCGTTGGAGGGGCGCCCCAGTACAGGGGCCCACGGGCCAAGGTTCCGGAGCACTCGATTCGAGATGCTTCAAAAGGCACCATAACTTTCCCACGCCAAGAATATTATGCGGTGTTGAGTATAGATAGGATGGGAGTCTAACATTGAAGACGCTTGGTCTGAAACAGCACAAGTTGAGGCCATCATGACACTCATGACTGCCCGCGAAGGATGAAATGGATACTCCCGCAATCTGCCTATTGTGCTGTAGATGAGGCATTCACCAAGTACTTTTCCTGTGCCTTGGCGTTGCAAAGATTCCTACTTGCAATGGTTCTAGCTGGTCAATCTATATAGGGAATTATTTAAGACTGTCTAATGGGCAACATAAGTCAAAAAGCAGTTGGGCATCCCTCTTTGACCATTTACAATGCAGGGAACTTGACTGGTTAGCACATTTCACAAATCACGAGCACAAGAAAGTCGATTATTGAACGCAAAGCACGTATATCCTTTGCCTATATTTCAACGCAGTAAACAGTCTTTTCACACTGAGCCTGCTGCAATTGTTCAACACAGCGGTGTTCTCTCCGAAAACCTCTGTAATGTACGACACCACAAACTCTACCAATGAGAATTATCACAATAAGCAGATCAATTATGGCCTCTGTATTCGGTGAACCATCGGAAACTAGGAGATTTGGTTTCATGAAGTTAACGTGCTATTTTAGACACCTTGACTTTGGAGGCAGAACATTTTTTTGGCAGGTCGGGGTTTTTGGGTAGTCGGGAATTTTTGCCAAACGTGACTTGGAACCTTTTCCGTCGATTTTGTCCAGTCAAATTCGCGAACAGGGATGGGTGGGGGGTTGAGCAGAATTATGCAATCATTAAAAGTTATGAACACCCGGGTATTGTACAATATCGGCCCATCATCGGCTGATGATGACGAGAGCGAGCCCTTCTCATCTCAGATGTACGCTTTTTTCTCTCTCCCTTCGTCATTTTTCTCTTCTTTCCTATTTTATAGAGGAGTGCCCACCATTTTGTCGACTTTGTTTGAGAAGAATCATTGCTTCTCCAGCTAGTGCTGCAGAACAATCGGCTTCCCGGCTTCCCAATTATTCAAGCTCTCCTGGATATTAACCCAGTACCGGAGATTCACCGCCTCCCTCTTGGCCGTCTCGATATCGTCGTGCCGGAACGCCGTCTCGAGCACCTCCTCGCTCGCGCGTATCCTCCCATCATTAGCCTCCCTCTGGCCCTCGAGCTCGCTCTCGGCCGTCGCCTCCTCAATCTCCTCGCGCGCCTCGAGCACCACCATCAGCAGCTCCGGGTCCTCGACCTTGAGCGTCTCGTCGTTGGCCACGTCGACGCCGCGGAGCGAGAGGAGGTACTGCGCGCGCAGGAGCGGGTTCGACAGTGTCTTGTACGCCTCATTGATGCGCGCCGACGTCGCCTCCGCGCGCGTCTTGAGCTCCGCCGGGTGCATGTCCGGGTGGGCCTTGGCCTGCAGCCGGAGGAACTCGCGGCGGAGGGCGCGCTGATCGATGGGAAAGTGGCCCTTGGGCGGCGGGCCGTCGGGGAGGGTGATGGGGAAGAAGTCGTAGTGCGTCTTGGGAATGGTGCTGTCGGTCGTGCTTGAGGTTGCGGCAGTTGATTCGCTGTCTGGTGTCGCCGTCGCCGGCCGTGATAGCGGGACGCTCCCGGACATCCACCGCTTTTGGCTGGGGATAGTGGATGAGACTTCAGACGCCCATCGTGCATGTGTTGTGAATAAAGAACTGCTGGCCGTGGCCATGGCTACTGCGCCGGATGGCCGGGCCACTGTCGCTTGTCGCCGGCATCTCGCGCATAGGCGAGATACGTCTCGTACGCCGGTCTGGATTGATGTGCGCATGTTGCTTGTGAACGTATCGCAATTGAGCTTTGATGATTCTGGTGTATGCAACTCGGGATCGTAGCTCAAGTAGCTGGTTCTATGCGATCGCGAGAGTAGTCACTGAAGTGTTACTCGACGAAATTTACGTATTGCTTTCTGGGGGGCGGATTTGGATGACGTCCCCGTAAAATCATTGCCGCGCCAAAGCGAAGCGAAGCGTCTAGCGCCGAGAGCCGCCCCGACATCTAAGTCCGAAGTCGGGGCATGTTCGGGGTTTCTTTTGCGCGCTTGCGGTGTTCTCTCCACTGGGGTGAGCCCCACTTGCAAAGTCCAGTGCCCTCCCGGTCCACTGCTCCAGCAACTCCAAAGCCTCTCCACAGAACGCTTGACCAAAAAGTGCCCTGTGATTCGACGACTGGGTGGCTCCTCTACTGCCCCCAACCCCAGATCAACCCCCCCACGGGCCTGGTCTCCGACACCAGACGTACGGGGTAATTCCCGCCGAATGGTTGGCGACTTATTACGATGATGTTCCCGCTCTGTCAGTTGTTGAGATTCTTCTTCATGTTTCCTTAGGCTGTACTAGTAGAGCTCCGAATTGCTAACAAAATGTCCAAGATATTCACTGCTGAAGAAGGTCCGTCTGCCGTGCTCCCCTTGCTGCGATGATTTCGAGTCAATGCTGATACAATTCTCACAGTGGCCAAGCACAACACATCCGACAGTTGTTGGGTGGTGCTCTACGGCAAAGTGTACGATGTTACCGAATTCCTCCCTTCACACCCCGGCGGCTCCAAGATCATTGTAAAGCTATCCGGCAAAGATGCGACAGAAGAGTACGACCCTATACACCCGTCGGGTATCCTCGAGGAGAACCTCAAGCCCGAAAACTGTCTAGGCACCGTAGACCCCGAGTCATTGGCGCTGCTACAACCTCAAGCCGCGAAGGCGGAATCCGAGAAACCCAAGGAGGGCCCGCCCAGGCTCGAGACGCTGCTCAATCTCGACGAGATTGAGGAGGCTGCCACAAAGATTATCCCCAAGAAGGCGTGGGCATACTACTTCTCAGCCTCTGACGACCTTTGGACCAAGAGCAACAACGGTCATGTGTACAGGCAGATCCTGCTGCGGCCTCGCGTCTTCGTCGACTGTACGAAAGTTGACACCTCCACAACTCTACTCGGCAACCACGTAGGACTTCCGTTGTTCGTGGCGCCGGCTGCCATGGCCAGACTTGCCCACCCCGACGGTGAGCGAGGTATTGCGAGGGCAGCGGCCAAGTTCAATGCGATGCAATGCGTTTCGAATAACGCGTCCATGACCCCGGAGCAGATCATTGAGGGTTCCCCTGAAGGCCAA